AGATGAAAGTATTCAAGTACAGTGAAGCCGACTGAAGGCAGTAGTAACGTTAGTAGTACCAGTAATATGATTGGTTGAATGAACCCGTTCTCCGAGTAAGATTGATGATTGTCAGAGTAAGGTTCGAATGCTAGTGCTGAGAAGCTACACTTGTTGAGGTCTGCTTCCCTTACGCGAGTTTCGCCGAGCAACATGCCCAGCTGCAAGGTCGGATGGCGTTTCTGGCCTCCCTACAGACGTTCAAGACGTTCAAGACAGTAGTGAGTAATTTTGGAGTAGCGAGACAAATTTTGAAGAACTCGTCGGAGATGTTGATCAAGGCAAGGACCTAGGACTTCGAAAAATGGTAAGTACACATGTGCGGCGCGGTGCTGTATGACTGCTGTTCTTGCCCGGATATGCGGGCAAGAACAGCAGTTGTACCGAATCGCGTACAGAATAAGCGGGCAAGATCGACTGGTCTTGCCCGCTTATTCTGGCCGCTCATTGGCTATGGCCTGGCAACTAGCACGTGCCATGTCTGAACACTGTGATCAGGGCCATCAGGCCCTCGGTCATGCCCTCGGGGCTACGCCCCTTGGGCGTCGCGACCTCGGGCAAGATCACTCACTGACCTCTAGCTCTGGCCTGATCAGAGCGTCATGCCCTCGCAACTTTTACTGTGTAGGATTATGTCAAGAGTACAGTCATAACCGGCCCGGGTTATGTACCATGATGTACTATGTACTCTTGATTATGTATACAGGATAGATTCCGCTGCACCAGGCCAGGGGCGTCCGTCATTTCTTGTGCATGCGAGATCAAGAGATGACCTAAGTAAGTTCAAAGGTCAATTAGTTAGCACTCAGCCGATCTTCTACCGTAGCTTCGTCGACATCGAGTCCACCAACTGTTTAGAGTAGATCTATCAAGATTATTCACTTCTATTATCAGTGTTTCATATCGGCTAGCCGTTGCAGGATATCATGGTCGTGCTGATGATTGTGTGGTGGAGTAGATCTACCTGATGCTTGACCTAGAACTGATGGGCAAAGGCGTAGCGAAGCATTCGTTATTCACATTCTGCTTCGGTCGTCACGTCAGTAAAGTAGACATCGTTGTTGTCGGACCAACATACCAAGCCCTACTGACCTGGCTACTACCAGGCAGTAAGCATGGTGGGCCGTGTGCTCTTGCTCCTTCTGCTCTGTACCGTCAGCACAAGCAATGTGAATGCCTTGTAAGTCGCATCATAGATTAGAGGCCCGTGTTATCAAGAGTATATAATCCCCCAAGAGTGTGCAACTCTGCATATGGGGTCTCCGACGGCGAAAACTCACATCACGTGTCTCAGATACCTTTGTACTACGTACAAACGTAGGATAGCGTGCGCGCAATCCGAAAATCTGCCGTGATCATGCTGGGGATTTGCATACGTGCAAGAGTCCATAGCCCAAGAGTATGCAACTGTGATCTCTTTTCTATGGGCCAACCGCGCGGCGCGCTGCCTTCATTACATCATTCAGCTGCAGTCCGCGCACTGCGGGAAATCAAACACCGCACTTTCCCTCTAGTTTGAAATGAACTTTCGTACGGAACTGGAGTTCACGCGCCAGAATTCAGAGATTGTGTAGGTACTGGAACGAATCGAGCAAAAACGGATGGGCTCGTGCGAGAAATTGAGAGTTTGAATGCATGCTTTCAGAGCGTAATGAAGGCAAGTTACGTAATGAAGGCAGCGCGCCACGCATGCACCCATAATCACAGTTGCATACTCTTGGGTTATGGACTCTTGATACGTGCAGTGAGTTTCTGTCAGAGAGTGCTTTTTTTAGTACTCCGCTGCTCGCTAAAACGGGCTGGAAACGTACAACTGCGACATTGCACCACGTGATGTGAGTTTTCGCCGTCGGCGTACCCCATAGAAAGGGTATCAGGAGTTGCACACTCTTGGGGGGTTATATACCCTTGGTGTTATCTGTAAGGCCCTCTGCAGTCTACGTACATAGAACATCCAGTACAAAATCACATAAAACCTAAAAGGCAACATTTTTCCACGCCTGCATTCAGACTACACAGTCATTTACATGCAACATACAGGCGACCTTTGACCCTACACAATTGCGCAAGGGGCCTGGGATGTGTGAAAGCATGCATTTTTAAAGGGGAAGTATACCCTAAAATCAAATTTTCACCAGTTGTAGTCTTCCGGGTGCTTAGTCGAATGGTCTTGGTTCGAGGAAGCTGAGACGCTCCCTTCCTCCTTTATTCCCAATCGAACTCGCACACTTCCACCGAAACTGGGTGACTGTGCCCTACTGTGCCTGAGGGCAGGATGACCAGGTGACTGGTGAACGCATGAGCACGTGACCGCTCACTCAACCGTGTTCGATTGGGAATAAGGGCCGAACGCTGCATCGCAGTCTTTTCGGACCAAAAACAGTCGACTCAGCGGCCAAAAGACTACAACATATGGACCAATCGCGGTCATCCGTGCTTTTATAAGAACGAAACGGCGTTTTAGTGACTTTTGCATACAAATCCCTATCTAGTAGGGCGCAGTCACTCAGTTTCGGTGGAAGTGCGCGAGTTCGATTGGGAATAAAGGAGGAAGGGAGCTTCTCAGCTTCCTCGGACCAAGACCATTCGACTCAGCACCCGGAAGACTACAACTGGTGAAAATTTGATTTTTTAAGGTATACTTCCCCTTTAAGCAGCCGGCAGTCGTACAAAGTGTGTACATTTGTACGACTGCCTTGTGAAAACGAACTTAGAAGTTGCGACTTCGGCGGTAATAGTCTTGAAGTTGGTTGCTCCAACGAGGAGCACACGCTTCTTGCCGAACTTGACACTTGACTGACTCACGACTGCCATCCGGAGCACACGAGGAGCACGTCGCACCTTCCGCTCGGCAAACCTGAAAGAAAGCACCACTCCCTGCTCAATACACAGTGTTTCGGGGAATTCACCCCTCATCAGTTGAGCTTGAGTAGGCTGAGGAAGATTGTGCCTGAAAAGCACCACTTATATACTGCTCTCCAGGCCAAACCATCACCAGGGATACAAACTTACAGAGACGCTTTGTTTCCAGCGCGACAAACACCTCGTGAAGCCCCAGGTAGCAGCGTGAGTCAGAGTCGCTCATGGAGTTGTGCTAAACAGACGTTGAGAGCCAGTATAGCTTTTCACAACGCTGTCACCTCCAACAACTAGTCGCACGTCCACGTGAGGGACAACAATACGAACTTAGAAGTTGCGACTTCGGCGGTAATAGTCTTGAAGTTGGTTGCTCCAACGAGGAGCACACGCTTCTTGCCGAACTTGACACTTGACTGACTCACGACTGCCATCCGGAGCACACGAGGAGCACGTCGCACCTTCCGCTCGGCAAACCTGAAAGAAAGCACCACTCCCTGCTCAATACACAGTGTTTCGGGGAATTCACCCCTCATCAGTTGAGCTTGAGTAGGCTGAGGAAGATTGTGCCTGAAAAGCACCACTTATATACTGCTCTCCAGGCCAAACCATCACCAGGGATACAAACTTACAGAGACGCTTTGTTCAAGCTCAACTGATGAGGGGTGAATTCCCCGAAACACTGTGTATTGAGCAGGGAGTGGTGCTTTCTTTCAGGTTTGCCGAGCGGAAGGTGCGACGTGCTCCTCGTGTGCTCCGGATGGCAGTCGTGAGTCAGTCAAGTGTCAAGTTCGGCAAGAAGCGTGTGCTCCTCGTTGGAGCAACCAACTTCATGCCTTGTGAAAGTACGATAAATGCAGGAAAGTTGCCTTGTACAGGTTGTCCCCCGTTAATACGAGTCCGGTTAGTACATAAACCCCGTTAGTACATAAGAAATCTCAAGTCCCGGACGAAACGGGGTCACTTCCATACAAATTTTGTCGGTTAGTACATAATTCGTTAGTACATAAACCCCGTTAGTACATAACATTTCTCCGTGCCCGCATGTCACCTACCTCAATAGTACATAATTTGTTGGTCTTTTGGCCTTCCAGTGGAGGCACATCGTGTTCTACAAAAAACTTGTGGAGCTCAGAAATCAGAGCGCACATCACAAACCGACAAAGCTCTGTTTTTTTCCGAGTGACTGTACAGGCGCGACTGGGCATGTATCATGTAAACTGTAGAATCTTCGCTGTGACCGTTATAACATAATTTTTATGTTGTATCGAGGGAATCAAGAATATCTTGCTGCCTAGTCGTGGTAGCAAGAAACACTCAGAAAAGTTAGTTGAAAAAGTGAAAAATTATGGTACACAAGCAAGTTATGTACACTTTCGTTTAGTACATGAACCCCGTTAATACATAACATTTGTCAAGTCCCAGAGATTATGTATAAACGAGGGACGACCTGTACAAGGAAAGGAAGGATTGGGCAGCTTTTTAGGCTTCCCGCCAGATTCTTGTAGCTGTCTTGGAAACTTCTATGCAAATGTGACTTATAGGCTGTTTTGTATCTAGTCTGAAGAGGGCCTTAGGACTAGGTGGGTGCTACATAGACATACCAGTGTGTAGACTCCGATTCAAGAGCTCTGTACGATAATTTTTATAATTTTTTAATTATTATGATGAAGAAAGGAAAAGGACAAAATGTTACGAGTTATGACTTTCTTCATCATAACTATATTGGCTCACCATCTGAGTTCAATTTTTTAATTTTTTACAATAATCACTTTGGTTCATACAGTCCCCGATGTAGAGGATGTAACCCGAGTCAGAGGGTTATCCCGGCTGAATATAAATCCCGACTGCGATAGCAGGAGGGTTTCATATGAGGGTTTCATATGAGGGTACGGTATAGCCCGACTACGAGCCCGACTACGAGGGTCATATCCTACTTATGCCAGGTACCCCTACGCATTTCCAGAACAACGAACCTATTTGGAGATCTCCTACATGTACATCATGCAGTACATGAACATGTTCTGCTGGTTATCAGTTGTCAATTGAAAGAATGGTCGAGCAAGATCAGAAGGAGATTCCTCCTTGGATGTTTGGCATAAGATTCCCTTTCAGTTCCAGTGCATATTGTAGCATCTTGTCTCGTGAGCAGTGCGGAAGTCAACTGAGTTGCTGGGGTGCTGGAGTTGTCGTTGAATCAAACCACTGTCACTAGTTAGACTACAGTTTGGACTCTTTGGGAGTAAATGGCACAGTGCTGATTTCATTACATGCGGCATCTTATAAATCAATTTTGCTTACTTGCAAGTAGATGAATTTTCATGCACTGTTTTGTATCACTGTATCACATTTCAGTCCATTCTACCATTTTCCAATCGGTTTAGGTGGATTTGAAGTACACTCTTTATCATAAACTTAGTTACGAAGGAGACAGTCTGTTGATGATCTTCAACTCTTCGAAGTACAATGTATATTGCTGATCTATTCGGGACACTTCGTGGTTATTCGACGTTCTTTGTCCTCAGATTCAGTATAACAGAATACTCGGCAGACGAATTCCAGGTCATTCTTCTTTTCCATTGTGTACTGTTCCTCGTCAGTAATAAATGCCGTTCTGTGTGGAGTGTACATGTGCATGTGGTGTATGTTCTGTCTGTTGTGAATGGTCCGTGCGCTGGAGTACTGCCGCCGTACAAGTTCACTGCCTTTCAGGCAGTGAACTTGTACGATGGCAGTGTCCCAGCGTACGTACCGTGCACCGGAATTTATATTCAGTATAAATCCCGCGCGGGATTTGCGCGGGATTTATACTGGCCATTATAACCATGGCTAGACGAGCGCTGATTGGCTGAAAACAGGCCCTCCGTAGCGTACCATGGTATAACTGCGGGTATCCTATGGAAACCGGCGAAATCCCCAGTCCGGGATAGAATCAAGCAGATGTAGGATTACAAATATGTACATGGCTAACAGGTTTCTGGTTGCAGTCCGGAACACTGTTTTGCGCACAGTGTGTCCTGACTGTCCTCCGCCTTGTGCTATGACGTCATCATCATAATAATGATGGCTATCTATAATGTAGAGTCATTGTGAGTGTACTCATGACGACCATGATTGACAACAAGAGTACAAAACCCGGTTTTGTACTCTTGTTGTCTTGCATGGCTACATGTACATGTACACTATACAGGCATGGTATTTGATAGGCACATGTAGCATTCGCATACACCATGGGCTCCCCTTGGAAGATAGTGTCTGCTTGTGTCAGTGGCGAGTGTATAGTGTACACGTACACAGCTGAGCGCACACCTAAGCTTCAAATTGTATGTATCTGACTGATACGTGTTGCACTTTTCAAATGCCGATTCAGCCTATTCCCGTTCAAGCCACAGATCCCAGGTGATGAGCACAATGAGCACGGAGGGCAGCAACAGCAGTCCCAAAGCGCCAACACAGGTTAGTGCTTGGACAGATCATGATGCAAGCATGTGTTACGCTGCACGCTGCTGCACTTAAGTTGCACTGTTTGACTTTGTGACACAATGGGTTTGCGATGCTTTCACACCTACAAGTACGCATCCGATGCAAAACTGTGATGGGAGTTTGATGGTCAAAATCCCATCACAGTTTTGGCCAGGGTTTCTTTTTTCTTGGGCACTGATGCCAATCAAGGTGTATTTATTTATGTTGTATCATGTACTGCTATTTTAGTGACATCGGCTGCTACATCGCCTGCTACACCGACTGCTACATTAGCTGCTGCAACGGCTGCTACATTAGCTGCTACATCGCCTGCTACATCATTTTCTTTTCAATTCTCTACGCACCGTGGCGCTCCTGACACAGCAGAGCACTGTAGCAGTGTGTCTTTTGAGTGCAGAATTATCATTCACAATTTGCGGCCAGGAATTCTATATCACTGGGGACGCAGCAAGTTGCCTGACCCCATAGCAGATAAGACTGAAATCCTGAACGCAACTAAGCAACTCGTACCAGTGGGAGGAAAAAGAGACAATAACTGTCGTTTGGAATGTGGTCTTTCCCTGGTAGTATCACCACATCTACTGAATCCTCTCGACTTCACCTATGCATATCGCTGTGGAGC